GAAGGGACGTGGAAGGGGGCCCTGAATGGAGAAGACCAGGAGTCTTGGTCTCATGTTATGTTTTATTCCAGCTTCGGATCCAACATGAGAGAGTTCCTTCTGCTAGAATATGCCTCGGGGCTGTTTGCTCATCACAGGTAGGAATTCCCCTAAGGGGTGACAGCAGGGTGCTCTTCAGCATGTGGGTGCCATCGGAGCTTCGACTGTGTTCTCCAGTCTGGTTCCTTGAAGGCTACAATGCTCTGGAGATGAGTCATCCTGCGTTCCAATCCCAGAGTTCCGTGGCAGCACCTAGACTTGCTAGGCCCTCATGCCTGTTCTCCTTGGACCTTCGCAGCCTGTGGCAGTTGGGGGTGGATTACTTTGACTACTGCCCTGAGCTGGGCCGAGTTTCCTTGGAGCTGCACATTGAGCGCATCCCCCTGAGCACCGAGCAGAAAGCCCTCAAGGTGCTGCGGATTTGTGAGCAGCGGCAGATGACTGAGCAAGGTGGGTCGTCCCTCCTCCAGCACAGCCCTGTGTTTACGCCATGCCAGCTAGACTGCAGAGAGGCCAGGTACTGGGTGCCAAGAAGTAAACCAAAACAGCAACATTGCTGGGGAGGGACAAAGAGCTAGGGATCCTTTGGGACCTGGAAGCAATAGAGCACGTCACCTTTTTTTTTTTGGATTGATTTTTTAGAGAAAAAGGAGAGAGAGAGAGAAACATCGATCAGCTGCCTCCTGCACTGTGCCCTACTGGGGAGTGAGCCTGCAACCCAGGCATCAGACTGGGAGCTCTCAGTCCATGGGACAGTGCTCAGTCCACCGAGCCACACCAGCCGGGCTGGAGCACGTCACCTTTTTATTTTTTTATTTATTGACTTTAGAGCGAGAGGGAGAGATAGAAACATCGATGAGAGAGAACATCGATTGGCTGCCTCCTGCATGCCCCCCACCGGGGATTTGGCCCACAACCTGGGGCTTAGCATGTGCTCTGACCAAGAATCAACTGGTGACCTCGTGGTGCATGGGTTGATGCTCAGTCACTGAGCCACACCGGCCGGGTGAGCACATCACCTTTTAAAAAATGTTCCCAACCCACTTCTCTCTTACTTACTTTAAGAGGTCGGAGCTGGGGTCACTTTGAGTTTACCTGTTCAAGTGGGTTGCTCTTGCTAGCTAAGGCTGGCTCTGAGGAAGCAGGACCAGAGGTGGCTTTGGAGGAACAGGGAGGGAATGAGGTTTGCCTCTTCTGACTGCTGAGTGATAAAAACCTAAGTTATTCTTCCCAGAGGCACTTGCATGTGTATGACTGTGAAAGCAGATGGCATTCAAGACCCAAGGGATGATAGGATTTTTGGCACCTGGAACAGTAGTGGAAGAGCTGATCTGGAGGGAGCAATAAAATACTTTATTGCCACCCCTGAAATCAAAGCTCACGAAGCCAGTTCTGTCAGGGTGGGTCACACTGTTAACAGGCAGCAGGCCCCTTCTAACCCGAGTTCCCAGTTCTGCTGACCAAGCTGCGTTTGGGTCCTGTGGAGGCGGCTGTGGAAGGCTGCGAGGAGGTGGGCAGGCTGCAGGGTTTAGGAATGATTCGTAGGGTGAAAGGTTTGCCTTTTCTCTTTTTGCCTGTGAAGTGCGAAGCATTTGTAAGATCTTAGCTATGAAAGCTGTCCGGAACAATCGCCTGGGCTCCGCCCTCTCTTGGAGCATTCGAGCCAAAGATGCCGCCTTTGCCACACTGGTGTCGGACAGGTGGGTTCAACAAGTGTCAGCCTCCTGGGAACTGCCTGGGACGTTGGGAGGCTGAGGAGGTGGGCCTGGGACTGCTGCCCTAATCTCAGGCCTGGCCTTGCAGGTTCCTCAGGGATTACTGTGAGCGAGGCTGCTTTTCCGACTTGGATCTCATCGACAACCTGGGGCCAGCCATGATGCTCAGTGATCGACTGACATTCTTGGGTGAGTGTCTCTGGGCTATGTCCCCTAGACTGTTGGCACAAATGGACAGTTGTGGTGATTGGAGAAAGTGTTCTAGACTTCTCCATTGTTTCCTTCCTGTTAAGCCCAAACTCCAAACCACACAGAACCCTGTGTGCCAGACTGCAAAATATATCTTTTGGTAATATTTTATTTTCCAGTAATTTCAAACTTTGAGAAAAGTTGCAAAAGTAGTGTAAGGAATAAGAAACTCTCATGTATACTTTATCCACATTTTTTATACTTTGCCTCATTTGTTTTATTCTTTCAATTGGGTTTTTTGAAATAATCTGAAAATAAATTGGAGACATTGTTGTTCCCCTTTCTTCATAAGTACTTGAGCATGTATTTCTTAAGAACATGCTCTTATCCGGCCAGTGTGGCTCAGTGGATTGAGCGCTGTCCCGTGGACTGAGAGGTCCCAGTTCAATTTCTGGTCAGGACACATGCCTGGATTGTGGGCTCGATCCCCAGTGGGGAGAATGCAGGAGGCAGCTGATCGATGTTTCTCTCTCATCGTTTCTGCCTCTCTCTCTAAAAAGTCAATAAACACACTGTTAAAAAAAGAACATGCTCTTGTATAATCACACCTATCAAAATCTGATTTCACTTGATACAATACTCTCACATAATCCATAGTTCATATTTTTGTTGTTGTTAATCCTCACCAAAGGATATTGTTTTCATTGATTTTTAGAGTTGGGGGCAAGGGGGTGGGTGGGGAGAAACACCCATGTGAGAGACACATCAATTGGTTGCCTCTGGAACTGGGGATCGAACCTGCAAGCCCAGTGTGTGCCCTTGACCAGGAATCAAAACCTGCAACCCTTTGGTGTAAGAGCTGATGCTCTGAACACTGAACCACACCAACCAGGCCACAGTTCTGGTTCTGATTACACCGTTGTCTCAGTGATGCCCTTGATCATGTGCAAGTTCACGGATTTAATTTTAATACCTCTTTTGGGTGCCTCTGCTTTTCTTAACCATAGCATTTTGCAGAGTCAATTCAGCCCTCTTGTAGAATGTCTTCAGTTTGGGTTTATCTGATATTTCCTCGTGATCAGATTTAGATGTATTTGGGGCAGGAATGCCACCAAAGTGATGTGTCCTCAGTGCTGTGTGTCCCCTTGTTGAAGTTTGCTTTGGTCATTGATTAAAGTGACATCCACCAGCTGTCTCTGTGCAGCACTGACTTCCCCTTTGATTTACTAATTATTTAAATGTCTTATTCCTCACCAAACTTTCACCCCCTAATTTTAGTGGCTACTATGCTTTTTCCGACTTCCATTCCTTGTTTTAATTGGCATCCCAGCATGTGGAAGGCTTTCCCTTTGTCCCTGTTTATTCTTTTATTTACATTAGTAATGGATTCCTGGTTTATTTTGTTCAATCTGTTATAACCCATGACTTTATTTTAATGCTTACATTCTCCCAGGTTTGGCTGGTTTGAGCCCCGTCACAGCGTGTGTTTTGAATTCTTTTCTGGTCTCACTGGTCCCTGAGCTTGGACACCACTTTGGAAGAATCTCTCTGCTCTGTGGAATGGCTGGCCTGGGTGTGTCTTCTCTTGTTTAGAGCCAAAGGTGACCTAGTGCTCTTTCCTCAATAGGAAAGTATCGTGAATTCCATCGGTTATACGGGGACAAGCGTTTTGTTGATGCGGCTTCTCTTCTTCTGTCACTGATGACTTCTCAGATTGCCCCGCGGTCTTTCTGGATGACACTCCTAACGGATGCCCTACCCCTTTTGGAACAGAAACAGGTACAGGTTGAGGTTGAGCCCACAATTTTTGTAGTCTCGACAGTGCTTCATTCTGTAGCTGGTGCAGATGAGTAAACATACATCATCTCCTAGGTAGGTGTACCCGATAGCACCCACTCTGGAAATCTAATATCCACACAAGAAAATATACTTAACTTGAAATGAGGCAGTTGCCTAGTGATCATACCCAGCCCAGGGCTGCATCTACAAAGTGCACCCCTCCCAAGGGCATGTAAGAAAGGCCATGTCTGAGCTTGGGCCCAGGCCTACATCATGTAGTAGGCCTCAGCTGTAAGGAGCTAAGCGAAGCAGCTTCTCTCTTCCTAGGTGATTTTTTCAGCAGATCAAACATACGAGCTGCTACGATGTCTGGAGGACTTGACCTCAGGACGACCAGTGCATGGAGAGCCTGATGCCCAGCAACTCCAGGTCATTTTAGCTTTCTGGGTTGGTTTCACAAGGGAGATAAGAAAAGGCTCCCTCTATCTCTGGCTTCTCCCACTTCCTTCCGCAAACGCTGGCCCCTTACAAACTCTTGTGCCTCTTAAATTACCTCTTAACCTATTACTGTGACATACCAACTTCTTTTGGGAAAAAAGGGGGTGATTCTAGCATTTTGATCTCTTGTATTTCTCTTTCCTGTCAATCAGTTGCAGTGGTCCTTTGCATTCAGCTCTTTCATTGAGAACTTGTTGGACGCTATTGCTGAATGTCAAATGACCTGTTTTTGGATTAGATAGAGCCCTTGGGAGCTTTAAAGAATGATCACTTCCTGCTGTGCCTCATACTGGCTCTTTTTGCTCTTAGGATGATGACATAGAGACCACCAAGGTGGAAATGCTGAGACTTTCTCTTGCACGAAATCTGGCTCGGGCAATTATAAAGGAAGGCTCGTTGGAAGGTTCCTGAGGCTAGCTGAGAGCTGCTCCAGCATGATATCTTTGTAAGGCAATGTATATACAGTTTTTAAAAAATAAATGGTTTTTTTTGCAAATATAAGGCAAGTTCCTACAGGATTCAGCTAGGGAGGTTTTATCTACGTCCCCTGTGAACGCATCAGTGTTTCTGTCTCCCTCCCTTCTACTGTGTCTAAAGATAAATGGAAAAAGTATCCTTGGGATACTAAAAAAAAAAAAAAGGTCCAGGAACCTGTACTTTTTAACAAAAATCTAGGTGACGGCTATATCTGGAATTTGTGCGTGGTGCTGCCCCACCCGCCCCGCCGCCCTCGGCAGGATAAATGGTGTCTGTGTTAGAAGGATTCCAAGTAGGGTGGAAATGGTTTTATTTAACATGCAGCAAAATAAGGGCAGCAGAGTTGATATATCCAGCATAGCTGTTTGTCACGAAAGTGTGACCTCAACAGTAACACTCATAAATAATTTTAATGTCTAAAGCTTATTATAAAGGTACATTTCCATGTAGTAACCCCACAGACTTTCCCAGGGCTGCAACAGCCAGTCTTATGGAAATCTTGGATTTATTCCTTAAGTACTGAAATGAGTTCACTTTTGACCTACCCTAACGAAGCAGTGCGACCTGCCTGCTGAGATGTGAGGGAAGTGGGCCCTGAGCCTTTCCAGCTGAGTTCAGGTGAGCTGCGTGCTCTTGCCCCAGCTGGTGGCTCGCTCTTGCCCCAGCTGGTGGCTCGCTCTTGCCCGTTGCCCGGTGAGGCAGCTGGGGCTGAGCACTGTTGAAGCAATAGGGTCTGGTGACTCGATTCAAGCACGGCCCCCAATCTCACCACCTCCAGACCCAACATCTCGCTGACAGTACCCCTCAGCAGCTGACAGTTTCTGGGCAGCGGGTAAGGCTAGTGCAGTGTGCCCGACCCTGAGGCCTTCTGTTCCAAACGGTATCCTATACCACAGGCCATCTTGGGGAGGAAGGGTAGGTCAAGGCAGGGAACACAGGTGGGGGGCAGTTGTCCTCCCTTCAGAGACTCGAAGGGCAAGACAGCAGTTCGTTTCATGGCAAGCAAGAGGTAGTGAGTAGGCTGGCCTGTTCCCGTGGTAGGAGGCACACTTTTCACAGAAAGCTCTGAGTACCTGCTTCTGGAGAAGGGGAAACACTGGTTCTCTTCCACTTTCTCTACCTTAGTTTAGGCTGCCTTGGGACCAAGTTCTGTTTCTAATAGGCTGAGTGCCAGTGTCCTGTGGAGATGTCCATAGGACACAGCCTGCCACCACCGAGGACAAGCACACACTTTTCCAGTGGCCATTCCAGGCTGACGCCGCCCGTGGAAGGCAGCACACCCGCTCCTTTCTCTGAGCACAGGCTCATTTGGGACCACGGGACTTTGCCCACCGCTCTGGAGGTAGGAGCAGGAGGAGCCTGCCAGCAAGGGAAGCACACAGTAGCATGGCGGGAGTGGGGTGGCGGCGAGGACCTGGTCCTTGAGGGAGGGCCCCCAGTCTCTTTAGAGACATCCTCCCTTGTGGCATCAGGGGATGCCAACATGAGGGGAAAACCTACTCCAGCCTTTGGTCTGTGTTCCCAGGGCGACAGTGCAGTCTGGGGCCATATCTCACCCAACAGTACATGGCCACTTCAAGTCACAGGTAGATAAAAGCAGGTCCTTTTAAGGGGCCAAAGGAGGAGAGACTGTCATAGCAGTAGCTCAGTTCCTGGCAGCAACCCCAGAGGCCCATTCCATACCAAAGCTCCAAGCACTGTGGTCAGGACATGGAAAACGGCTGGACCTGGAGAGCCCTCCTGTCTCGGCAGCCTGCTTGGGCCTCAGAGTGGAGATGACAGCATCCTCTGGGGTCATAGGCTCCCCCACTGCTCCACAGGAGGGAACTGGTCCACCTCACCCACCTCCGTGCTCAGTTGCTCCCCCAGGGCGAAGGTCAGCCTATACCGAAGCCTTGCCTTCTCCTGTGACAGGGGAGCAGTATGTGAGGCTCCATTACCCTGAAGTTTTCTGTTCTAACAGGCCTTGTTCCCACCACCCCGTCCTTGCTCAGCCACTGGACCAGGGTAGGGAAGGGACAGGGTAAATGCTATGGTACCACGACACTTCTGGTTGGGAGGTGGCCTGGGGCAAGGGCTTGGAGGTAGGAGGTGGTCCTGATCTGGGGCTTCCAGCTCACCTTCAGCGGATTAGCCAGCAGCATGACCTGGGTGATGGCTGCAGGTGGCTGGATGGGGCTAAACGGAGAGAGCTCTGTCCCAGAGGGTGGCTGTAACTTTACTTTCATTGACTAAAGAGGAAGAGAAAGTTCCTTTGAAGAGAGACAGCAGGTGCCAAGATGGAACCAAGTGTGGTCACTATGGTCGTGTGCTAGCCACTGAGACCCTCAACACAGTGGGTTCATGATAAGGTAATTTGTCTCTAGAGGCCATAGGAAATACCTTGGGTACTGCAGCCTGCAGCATGATGCTCTTGATGGGTAAGGGAGCTGTATTCAGCATGGACACAACCACCACTAGCACGTCAGGCCGACCTGGCGGACACTCCTTGGCAAAGTGGAAGAGGATGCGGAAGCCGTTTTTATCATAGGCTGTCACAGGAAGGGCGCTGCCTGTAAGAAGGTCGCGGGTGGGTGTGGAAGGAGAGAGAAGGTCAACAACCCCCCACGGGTAGCTGCTGCAGGCAAGCGGGGAGAGTAGTGCTCCCTGAAGGAGTCTGGGAAAGAACCTGTCAGAACTTCACACGAGTGTGCAGCAGCCAGAACAAGAAGTGAGTTGGTCACATTCAACTCTAAGGGACCCCAGCAAGGAGAGCCTGTACTGACCCACCCATCTCCCCACAGGGCTTACAAAGTGGGGGCCCCACTTCCCCTCCCACCCCAAGCTTCCAACACTTACTAGGCTTGATAGATTCCAGGGGGACATGGACACTGGCCAGGGAAAGCTCAGGCCCCCTCACTGGGCTCCCCGGGGGTGGGAAGACCGGTGGCTGGAAGAGAGGGCTGCCAGGCCCCGCGGAGAACGGCAGGAGAGGCCTAGCTGTGGTGCTGGTGGGGATCAGAGGGGAGGTTGTGGCCCCAGGAACCAAGCTGGAGGAAATGGGTTTCACCAGGCCTGAGGTCCTAGGGGGCAGGAAGGACAAAGCAAATCAGAGACCAAGGAAACTAGGCCAACCCCTCACAAAGTATCCCCCTACCCCCAGGGGAGCTGGCTCTTACCCCCCTCCCTAGCTTCCTTTCCAGTGTCAGATCAAAAGACCTCCCCAACCCCTCCTCTCCCACTCATTACGCTTTGGCTTCTTCTAGAAGCTGATCGAGGGCATCCAGCTGGTGCAGGGTGCTGTCGCCCAAAGCTGAGCCATGGTACCCAGGGGCTGAGGGCTCAGCCTTTGGGGCTGAAGCTGGAGCCAGTCCAGTGGGGAACAAAAAGCCTGCTTTTGGAGCAGAAACGCTGGCTAGGACCACAGGAGCTGGGAAGGGTGGCGGCAGTGGAGTCTGGGAGTTGTCTGCAGGGGTTGCTGAGGGCTGGAGGACAGGCCCGTCTGTGGGGCTACAAGCAGCAGTCCCGGGTTTGGGGCTGAAGAAGTCTAGATCCGACTGTTCATTCTATTGGGAATGGAAAGTATGGGTGAGCAAGGGGTGCCGAGGGTTTCGGCTTTCCACCCCTGGCTCCTTTGTAACCCCGCTGAACTAGCAGCCCTCCAAGGACAGGGCCCCAGGAGCTAAAGATAGTGGGGCTGCGGCTAACTACAGCTGAGGACTAGCTGGGAAAGAGAATACTAACAAGTCAAGGTTGTCCAGTGCTTCAGTGATGTCACCTGTGTACCTACCTGGAACAGGGGCCACTGGCCATTTCCAGCTGACTCTTTGGGAGGAGCCCTAGGGGCTGGATCAGTAAGGCCTGAGAACAAAGATGTCTGTGATGAGCAGAAGCACTGGGCTAGGGCAGCTTCAGCCCTAGGGTCACACAACAAAAACAGTAATATATTCTCCAGGCAACCTCCAGGGGGGGCTTCTGGGAGGCGGAAGCGGAGGAGGAAGACACTGGAGCTACCTTTTCCACCCGAGTCTGCTAGACTGCCCTGGTAGCCTGAGGGACATGGAAATCCCTTTCCCTACAACTGAGCCTTCCCCGCCCTTGCTAAGCACATGGGAAACCCTGGAGACCTCCCAATTCCGCACCCCTTTCTTCTCTACCAGGTCTGTCAGAGGCAGCCCTTTACAGCCTCCCTCCTCCCTCCAGGACGCACCCAAACAGAGCAGCTCCTCATCCAGCAAGCAGAGGGCATTGTTTGTGTTGGACCCTGAGGGGGCCTCAGCCTGGCTGGATGAGCGGCTGCGCCCAGGTCCTGAGGTCTGGGGGGGTGGGGGGAGGATAGGGATGCCCGAGGAAGGTGGGGTGGGGGCTGGAGCCAGCACTGGGGACGAGCTGCTTGGTGCATCCACCTCCGCAAGGTCGATGAGAGTGCCTTGGTTACTGGAGTGGTGGTTTCCTGGATGAATGAATGGGTGGGAACAGGAATAATTAGGGGCCGCTGCAGTGGCTACACAGCAGGAGGCCTAAATCCTGAGCACAGGCGATGGCCTAATCCAAGGGCATTTGTGCCAACTAGACAGAAAAGTGAAGGTAGGTGGGGAGAGCCCTATCCAATCCCCTGGCCTCTGGGAAGCTGAAGAACCATTTGGAATGGCTTAGAATCCCTTTGGGCCCCATGGGCTGACAGACTGGTCAACCTAGGGCTTGGTGATAGGGATTTCGGCTGGTCTGAAGGGGTCCAGAATGAGGAACCAAAACATTTTACCTTCAAAGTCAGACATGGTTGAGGTGGCCACCTCACCATTGATAACCTGCCCTTCAACAATTGTTTTGTATGAGTTGATGACCCGGGAGAGGTTGTCACTGGCCTGCAGGATATCCCCTAGAGCAGAAAAGAGACCTCTCATTCCTAGCCATGACAACTCCCCCCACCACACACAAATCCAGTTCCTGGGTCATCCTTGTTAATTGGTCTTTTCACTCACCCAAACTATTGTCATTGTCCTCTGTCTCACTGGCTAGTTTGAATAACGTCCGCCTCTTATTCTCACACCGATCAAACAGCTCCTGAAAGAGACCCACACATAAAAATCAGGCCTACAAGGCCCTTGGAGATCATGCGAGAAAATCACAGGCTCTCCTGGCACCATGGTCAGTTACTGGCAGAGCTGGGCGCAGAGCACAAGTCCTCTGCTGCCAGCCTGGACCACACTGTGTCATCCTACCTGCTCAGGCGGAGGAGTCACCAGGATGGACAGGGAAAGTACATCCCCTCCGCCTCTCAGCTGGCACATGCTCACAATTCAGAGTACCAATGTGACCAAGAACTGAGGTGCCACACTGGGGGCACAGGGGCCTCTCTGCAGGAGGCAAGGCTGAGAACAAGGTCTCAGAGTCACAGAGACTCGCTTATGCACACAGCTCTTTCTGCCCAGGGCAAGTCAATCATGGCTCGTGTCAAATGGGGGCGCAATCCCCTCCACCCGGCTGCCATGTCGATTCATAAGGTAGGGATCACCAGATGTGTAGCAACATCTTCAAAAGAGCAGGCACTCAGAAAGGCTGGCTCCCTTGCCCAGAGCCCAGCTCTTCTGGGGGTGGAGGCTACCTTCATGAGCTCTTTGTCTGCCTCTGACGAATCCTCTTTGCTGTAATGAAGCAGCATCTCACTGAGCAGCTTCACGTTGTTATTAACCTCCTCTAAAGTGTGCAGACGCTTGGTCACCTTCTGGATCCGTGCCTCGTCCTGCAAAGAGGATGAAGGAGAAAGAGCTCAACTAGACTAGTCCCACTGAACCACAGAATCCTGCAAAGCACGGGTCACAGCAGAGAACACAAGAGGGAGGCTGGTCCCCCTGAAGGCTCCTCTCAATGCACAGTTCTTGGGAACCATGGGCCTCAGACCCAGTTTACAGTTTTTATTTTTAAAATAATAGTCCTCCTCCCACCCCCAAACTTGGCCCCATCCACTCTTGCTACAGCAGGCCTACTGCCAAGGGAAAGGACTTCCGCTCTGTCACCGGCTCCTCCATCCCAAGGCCCAGGGCCCACTTACTTCCTTCACCATGGACTTGATGAGCTTGTTGGCCTCTTGGAGGTCATCTGGGTTTTTGCTTTTCAACAACTTGGCTAAAAGCTGGACAAGAAGGGTAGCAAAGGTGAAGGCAACGATAGCACCCACTTGGGGAGACCCCGGAGAAAACGGAGCTTCCCACAGCACGAGTGAGACTACATCTTGCCTGAGGACTCTGCAGGCTCGATGCATTTTACCTTGGATTTCTCCTCATCATCAAAGACAGGATTTTTGGGACGAGGTGGTGGAGAGGGGATCAGTGTCCGGTCCACAGGGATCAGTGGGTCAGACTGCACTATGCCTGAAAGGTGACACAAGGCAGAGTGTTCGCTCAGGCTGAGGCCACCTTGCTGCCCTTCCTCACACGGCAAGGGCACATCCCTATGACCGGGAGAACCTGCAGGGGCAGGGACAGAGCAGGCTACACACACCTCATCTCATCAAACCCTAGCCAAGCTTGTCCCATTGTCTTCGGGAGGGAGGAAGAGATATAGCCTGGGGACAGCAGACACCCCCTCGTCCTTCCTGGTACCGGTCAGCCTTTGGGGCGGCGTGGAGACTGAGGTGAGGTAGGCACATACCTTGCCTCTTCAGCATGTGGTAGGCATCCTTGATCTTCGATTCTTCAGGCAGGGCCAATGTCCAGCTATAAAGCAGCTCAATAACCTTGGTCTTCACTTTCTCAGACACCCTGTCCCCCAGGTACTAAAGCAAAAGGAAATGGGAAAACTAGGAACTGCAGTCTGGGGGCAGAGACAGTGGGAGGCTCTCTTCACAGCAGTGAAACGGTCACTAATAAGTTAGAGTCCTCAGCAGCAGGGATCAGGTGTGTGAGACCGCACCGGAGCAGGAGGAGAGAATGCTATTTGTGGCAGAGCCCTATCCATCTGGGGTGGTCTGTGGGTAGGCAGGGGGCTGGGAACTCGTCCCTGAATTTCCACGCACAATCTGCCAGAAACACAACTGCACTTCATCTCAAAGGGGTTAACGTCTTTAGCATAAACAAGCAGTCCCTCTGCTGTAAGCGGGTGCCCAGAGCTTAGGCAATACAACTGGGCAAATGAACCTGAGTGGCTGAGTAATGAGGGAGCTAGCTCCTTGTATCCATGTGAGACCGGCCAGACGAAGGGCTGCTGTTCCTAGGAACCCGGGGGCCTGCGCTATGCAGGCCCACCCTGGATACACACACAGCTGCTGCCACGCTATGTCACGTTTAGGCTGGGAGCCCTTCAGAGAGGTCTGTCTGTCCCCATGGCCTGTATGGTCATCCTGCTACCCTCAGAGCCCAGCTCTCTAAGGGCAGGACATGGAGAATTCAGATCCATGGAGATGCTGGCTGTGCAGTGAAAACCAGTCGGATGGGTGAGGGGGAGAAATGAAGGAAGCTCCGAGAAATGAGGAAACTGCCACTGACTCACCTTTGGAGAGACAACTTTGATTAACTCATTCAAAAATCGGAACTTTCCCACTTCATTATGAAATCTCCTCCCACAGTTCTTCATACATGCCTCCAGCACCTGCAGCCACACAAAGGAGAGGCACTGGGTCTGGGTGGGACTGCACTCAGCCAAGCACTGAATAAATATTCACCCAAGGAAGGAACTAATCAGGAAGGGTTGTGAGCACAGACCCAGGGACATCCCATGTTCCTCAAATTGCAAATCTCTTCTGGGGAAGCTCAAGAAACCCGGATAACAAGACGATGGAACTCGAGTTCTAGTAGGTGCCTTCCCGCGATATTCTGTTTTCAGATGAAAAAAATGAGACCCGGAGCAAGTTTCTGACTCAAGGTCCAGGGTTCTTTCCACAAGCTGATCAACATTTTGGGGAGTTGGGAGATACAGTTTTCATTGTTTTCTCCATTTTAGGTGACACAATACGTTCCCTCCCTCTGCTTCCATCTACTTTCCTTCTGGGGCCATAAAACTATCGTAAGTTTTCAGTATCTGCAGTTTATGCCAAGGGCCAGGCCAAGGCTCCCTTTCTTGGCTTCTGTCTTTGTAAAGGTGGGTTTTTCACCTTTACAATCACTGACATCTTGGGCTGGTCGTTCCTTGCTGTGGAACCTGCGCTGTGCATTGCAGGATGTTTAGCAGCATCCCTGGCCTCTACCCACCTGAGGCCAGTAGCACCCCGACATGAGACAACCAAAAGTGTCTCTATATATTGCCAAATGTCCCTTGGGGGACAGAACCACCCTGGTTGAGAACCACTGTTTGAAAGCCTTTGCAACACAGGTGTGCGTGTGGGCGGTCCAGCACCCTTCCCATCACCGTTTCCCCTCTCCCACCTTCCCAGCCCCTCAGTGAAGTCAGGAGGACCCTAGGACTTCTCATTTGGCTTAGGGGAGAGCCTGGAGGCGCCCAGGTGCTGCACACAGCTCCACGGCTCAAATCCTCAGTCTGAATAAACACTAAGAGCTGCCTGTTGGTGTGATGCCTCCAACAGTAACTGGCATTATTTTCGCTACAGAATGAATTATACTCACCTCCACTTTTCTTCTTGGCCAACCCCTAACTGGTAGGACAGCTCTGTCAGCATCTCTTCCAGAAGCCTTCTCTGAGCCCCACCCTGGGCTCAGGGCCCTGCCTCTGGTTTCCTCCCTTAGCCTGTCTGCTTCTCCCACTAACCACAAGGCCATGCAGTCAGCTTTGAAGCCTCAGTGCCCAGCACAAGGGCACACACATCTGTAAAACAGCCGACTGCACACGCTTCAGAACAGGCCTGGTCTCATGAAGATCACCCTCAGGATGAAAAACCTACCGTCAGGGCCTGGACCGCCTCCCATTCCTGCGGAGACTGGATCTTATGGGCCAGCAGTCGGACAGCTATCTGTGGCCTGGGAGATAAGCAGACCACACTTTCAAGACACTGACACTGAGGCCACCTGGCTAGCCCTCCTTGGCCTCAGTATTTTACTTTCCCAAATATGTCACCTGCCCCCTAACAGCTCTGAGACTCACCCTTCAAGCTCTTTGTTGATCTGATCACAGAAGCCAATTATGTATTCCCAGTCCTCCTGGCGGTTGGAAGGATTGGTGGCTTTATCTTGGGACAGAACCAAGAATAGGACAACTGTTATAAAGAGCACGGAGGATACAACAGAAGGTTTTTTTCATACTTTTCAGGCACTGATGCGAAGGTAAGCTTTGTTTCCAAATTTCTTCTCTAACAGAAGCCTCAAGAGTTCAGTCAGGCAGCAAGTCACATACAAATACCACCTGCTGTCCGAAGGAGAAAACAATCCTCAGCTCATGGAGCTTAGAGTAGATCATGATCATCAGAACAAACACAAATCCGGTGTTGCTCAGTGGCTAGAGCATCGTCCCCTGAACCAAAGGTCTCAGGTTTGATTCCCGGTCAGGGCACATGTCCCGGTTGCAGGTTGGACTCCTGGTCAGATCACGTACGGGAGGCAACTGATCAATGTTTCTCTCTCCCTCTCCCTTTCTCTCTTTGTAGAATCAATGAAGGAAGCATATCCTCGGGTGAGGGAAAGAAAACAACACACAAATAATTATAAACACACACACACTCTCTCCCTTCCTCTCTAAAAAAAAAATCAATGAAGACATATTAAAAAATCAATAAATAAAATATTCAAGTATATGCCTATATAAAATATTTACTATAACAAATAAATATGGATAACTCCAGCTACATAAAAATAAGTTTAAGTGTTAACCAAGTAGGGGTGATCAAGAATTGTTTCCTGGTATAGAATAGGAAATATAGTCAATAATAATGTAATATACCTGAAACCTGTATAATTTTGTTAACCAGTGTCACCACAATAAATTCAATAAGAAGGAAAAAATTTATCACATATCTTTAATAAATTTATCAATTAGTAATTAAAAGTAATTGTGTAATAACTAGATATGGTGCCAGGTGGGTACTGGAACTATCAGGTGGTTCACTTTGCTAAGTATATGATTGTCTAACCATTGTGCAATCCTGAAACTAACACAAAACAATACCGAATGTAAGCTGTAATTGAAAAAATTTTTTAATAAAAAAATTAATAATTACAAAAGAAAAGTTTTTCCTGGAGAAGGTGAAGAAGGGGATACTTGATAAAAAATACATACTCAGAAAATATGCTTCCTACATACCCTTCAAAAACTTTTTTCAAAGACCTAACCTCTTTAATACTTTAAATGTTTTTTATTTATTTTTATTTTTTAATCTTATTATTTTTTCATCCTCACCCAAGGACATTCCTCTATCTTTTGTTCAGACAGAGTGGGAGGGAGAGAGATGGAGAGAGAGAGAGAAACATCAACGTGAAAGGGACACATCGAGTGGCTGCCTCCCGCACGACCAACCAGGGCACCACTGGTTGTGCTATGTGTCCCTGGGCTCACAGAAACAGAATTTAAGATTGAGTAGTCAGTGCCCACAGGACTGAATGGTCTCCCGTTATCAAGGACTAAGACTAACACCAGAGAGTCCTCAGAGGGTCACTGAGGGTTTAAAATCCAGTGCTAAATGCCAAGTCTCCTAATATTCGTATGGGTCCTTTTCCCTGTTAGCCCCAGAACCTGTGCTTGCAGAGAAGGGCCCCAGCGGAGGGTGGCTGAATGTGTTCCCATCTCTTGGTCATTACCGAGGTTGTTAGAATGCAGTTTCTCATTTGCCCACTAGGTTTTCTTTCTGCTACATTTTTTTTAAAAAACATGTTCCCATCGCCAAGTTAAATCTTGGGAGTTTACCTCTTCTAGAAAGCAGTCTCAAGCTGTTTGCTAAATTTAAGGCTTCACATTCAGAAGACAAATGGAAGGCTGACCCTTTTTAAACAAGAACTCTCCTGCAGATTCCCACCAGGGCCAACAACAGAGAGACAGGGGCTTGGAAAAGCCCCTCCCAACAAGGGGTGTTGTAAGAAGTTCCTGAATTCTGATTTCTCAGGTCAGTTTTCTTAACATTAAAAACCACTTGCTCCACAATCAATCCCTAACGACTCTGTGCCACTCCCCCATCTGTCCCTGCACAGGGCTCTGAGCCACAAGAGGTCAGCAGACGCCACGCAGCGGCAGAGCCGGGGCTGCAGCACTGTGAAAGCTGCACCTGCCTGGCAGTGTTTCTGCTCTGGCTGCAAGAAGACTCCGATGGTGCCCTGGCCGGTTTGGCTCAGCAGTCAGAGCGTTGGCCCACAGACAGAAGGGTTGGGTTTGAGTCCGGTCATGGGCACGTACCGGGGTTGCAGGTTCCATCCCAGCCCTGGGTTGTGCGGGAGGCAAACCATTCAATGCATCTCTCTCATGCTGATATTTCTCTTTTTCTCTCTCGCCCCCTTCCTCTCTCTCTAAAAATCAATGGAAAAATACCCTAAGGTGAGGATTAACAACAACAACAAAAAGAAGATTTGAAAGGTTCAGGTTCATATTTGGAAGAAAAAAGAGATGTGTGTCCTCAATCTTGAAAAGGGAATGAACAGGCACTTCAAAATGTCAAGCTTGAAGGAAAGAGATTAATTCTATCAACAGTGGCTATTAACTGCCATAATGACCTACTAGCTGTCACCTTCCAGAGAAGCCCCGAGTCTCTCCCACCAGTTATCTTAAATCTTCTCAGGTGTTAGCATGGCTTTGTTACTAATCCCTATCATTTGAGATGTTTAAAGTTCTCAAATGACACCAAGAGGCTGTAGGAATACAAAAATAAAATGGTCTGAGAAGCCATACCCACCCCATCACTATTAGTTTGGGAGTAGTCACATACTTGTGGTATAAGAAAAAGCAGCCCACCCACTCTCATTGTTCACAATTGGAAAAGCATCTTCCAAATGCATAGTCTGATGTGGACCCCCCTTCTCCCTGCTACACACACACACACACACACACACACTCACACTCACACACTCACACAGACAGCAAGCATTCACCAAACGCCATATTTTTCCCAGACCTGCTAGAATTCCAACAGCATTTCTGCTTCCAAGAATATGCCTGCTTATTTTTCACTGTGTTCAACTTCTCTGGAATCACACTTCCTTTTATCTTGGTAGAACTTTCTACTGCAAATCTTCAGGGAGCATTGTGCCTACACAGGAGCACAGAAAGCCCTGGTTTCAGCAATGGTCAGCCCACTTCCGAGAGTCTCCTGCAGCTCCCCAGCCAGCTCAGAAAGCAAACCTCAATTGCCCACAGGACTGGGGAAACCTCTGGGGATCATTCTGGGTGACTGGATCTCTCCATGTGCCCACTGCCTCCCCAGCAGATGTACATTTTCTTCTACCCACTCAACAGTCACCATCACCTGGCACAGGGGTGACATCAGGGCTTCTGTTGCAGACCCTGACTTCTAGAACCGCCCCTCTGACTCAAGGTTTCTATTTTCAGATCGCAGTGGAAAGCCTTCCTCTCTTCTGTCTGTGCCTCTAGAATCCCTGCTCCCATTTTCATCTTAATTCCATCATCAGCCTTGACCATCGTGAAACCTCATAAAGTCAAGTAGGGATGGAAACAGCAGCATTGGCTACTCCATCCCCTCAGAGCCCAGACATTCCAGAGACAAGTTCTATGTAGCAAATAACCCAGAAATAAGCAGAGGCAAGAACAAGAGATGAAAAGAGTAGAGAGTCAACCTTCATTGCCAGCGTCTTGAATCAAGAGACTGAGTCAATCGCCAAGTGTTTGTTAAGGACCCAGAGAAGATTAAGTACTGCATGCCAGGCCCTGGAGGGACTTTAGAAAAAGTACAAGACTCGGATCCACCCTGGGCCCAGCAGAGGCTTCTGCAGTAACTCTGGCAGGCCATGGAGTGACAAGGACTCAGAATAAGATGCACTGGAGCCCAATCACTGGCTTGTTCACTTGATCTAGTTCACAACATTAAGTCATAAGACTTATAATGGGGTTACATCCAGATAAATTCTTCATAAGGTGAAAATATCAAAAGTCATAAATGCATTTAATACATCTAACCTACTGAACATCATAGCTTAGCCTAGAATACAATATCCAAGGAAGTTTTCTCTTTCTGATGCAACGCATGAGACAGAACCAGAGCAAAAAACAAGAATGTGTAAGTGTAAGTGCTTCTTTGGTACAGAAATGAATCTAAAAACAAACTTAACACTTCTCCTTCCTGACTTCCCTATTTCTATAAAAAAGCTCTCTCAGGCCCACTGAGTGTGACTCAGTGGATTGAAGTTGTCTCATGGACTGAGAGGTCAGGGCACATGGCCAGGTTGTGGGCTCGATCCCCAGAAGGGGGCATGCAGGAGGCGGCCAATCAGCCAATCGATGTCTCTCTCTCACATTGATGTTTCTAGCTCTCCCTTCCTCCCTCTCTAAAAAAATCAATAAAATATACTTTAAAAAAACTGTATTTTAGCATTTCTGACTCTTGCCCTATATTTTAATTTTATTTTTTTAAATTTAAGAATGCTTTATCCACTCCAGCATCACCTTCATCAAGCTGAAGGCAAAGACTGCTTGAACGTAGTTTTCACAATACCTCCCATAGCAGGTATTCATTAAATATTGCTTGACTGTGTTTAATGAGAGGACTTTAGAGAAGGCTGATGTTATCAAGATATGGTTCATGAGGAAGGAAAATCTGGGGTGGGTTTTAAAGCATTTAGTGAGCAAAGGGGACCAGGGCTTCCAGGTAAGAGGGTAATGTGTGTTTGTGGGACATGAACATGGACTGACCGAAGCAAGCAAGAGTATCAGGAGGCCACACAGAGGAGGCAGGAGGTATGCGGCAGTGGAACGACTTGATTACACAGAAGTGCTCTTCTGGGAGAATTTGGAATGGACTGAGGGGAGGTGGGGAGAGACTGGAGATACTGGACTCAGAAGGGGCTTCTGTAATTCTGGCAAAATACTGAGTGACAAAGACCTAGAATAAGATGCTGCTAAAGCCCAAACACTGGTTCGTTCACTTGCTTTAGTTTGTACCATTAAATCGTAAGGCTTACGATGTAGTTATATACAGATAAATTCTTCATAAGTTGAAAATACCGTTAAGTTGAAAATGCATTTAATACATGTAACCTACTGAATATCATTGCTTAGCCTTAGAACACAATATCCAAAACCACTGGCAACACAGTACAGCGGAGACCATCGGTTGTTGAGCTGCGATTGCTGGCGCTGCCCAGCATCATGGGAGAGTATCCTACCGCATACCGCTAGCCTGAGAAAAGTTCAAAGTTCAAAATCTGAAGTATGGTTTCTACTGAATGTTCATTGCTTTTGCACCATCATAAAGTCAAAAAATTATGTTCAAACAATGGTTAAGTCAGAGACATCTGTAATGGCTACAGATACCATCCCATTCCCTTCTCATCATCTCCACTCTCCCTCAAAAACAGGTCGGTACCTCTCCTATTTCAAAATAACTCTAAACCTATTAACTCAGCTTAGGTCACTTAAAACTATTCCAATGTCCCCATTAATATCTGTGAATCAAACCTATTCCAGTGTGGTTATATCTGGTTGGGTGGCTCTGGACAAATGGTTTGATTAGTCAGGGTGTCCTCTTTTTGTGAAATTGTGACAGTAATATCAGCTTCACTAGAATACTTGATAAATAAATTAAATGAATGTCTTTAGAGTACTTTGAGCTTCCTGGAGAACAGTTCCACATATACAGAAGGCGTGGTGACCTGCCCGTAACTGAAGATTTTGCCAATGTAAGGTAGGTTCAACCACCTGAAGGGAGTTTCTTACTAAAAAGTTCAAGCAATTGGGAGGAAACAGCCATCACCTCCAAGAACCTGGGGGCTCTAGTAAATAAGAGATCTCTGCAAAAGGTAACATCTACACATCCCTTTGTGCCTTGTCACCGTGTCCAGTTTCTGTTTCCTCTTAGACGTCTCCAGGAGCCTCCTATCACCCATGGGAAAGTTCAGTTACTAACCATTCAGCACAGTGCTACCAGCTAACAAGGGGAACCCGTATTTCCTTACTAGCAACCTGAATTAGCAATTGTAGCAATAGGCCGCTCAACTACAGCATCAGGCGAGGCTCCTCAGCTATGCTCCGAGGTTACCAAAAAATGACTCAAGATGTTCCAGGTGCGCGCGCGGGGGGCGCGGGGGGCCGCGGGGGGCAGGGCTCTGTTCCTTCTGTTTGGATTAGTCCCACTTCAAACGTTCTGCCTGCGCGAGCAGTCACTTCTCCACGAATGCAATCACAATTCGGAAGCTGTGTGTGTGAACACGCAGCAGCACCCCCCGCTCCCGGAGTTCGAGCCCAAATGCAGAGCTCTGCCCCTCGCCAGGCACGGAGCCGCAGGGGCCCCGGAGCCAGCCGCCCGCAGCCCCACCACAGTCTCCCCAAAGCCGCGGTGCCGGTCAGTAGGAGGCACTTGGTTGTCACTCTCCCGAGTGCGCGAGGCCGGGACAGGACCCGAGCTCGCGCCGACGCGCACGGAGCGGGAGGAGGCGCCGCGGCCCGGGGAGCAGGAGCGGGGCGGGGGCCAGGCGCCCAGCTGGGGAAGGGGCGTGATCGCGGAACGCTCGCGGCGGCGGCGGGCCCTGGCGCAGGCTGCCAGGCGGCGCCGCCGCGGGGCCGCGGAAGGGGCGTAGCGGTGCGGGGACAGGCGGCTCCGTGGTGGCTCGAGAGCGTGCAAAAGCGGCGGCGGATACTCACTCAGCCAGGATTCCAGGCTCTCTCCTTCCGCCTCCGCCATATTGCAGCCGCCCGGGCCGGGCCCGCGGCCTCAAACCTCGCGACAACCTGCCAGAGAGGGGCCGGGGCGGGGCCTGCATGGGGGCCTGAGAGGAGCGAGCGCCGCCACCGAGGGTCGCGCCAGACTGCGACGGATGATGGGAGGGCGAGTGTTTCCTTTTTGATTCGTCCGTTTGGGCCGCGGAACGAGATGCTCTCAACGCCCAGACTGATGCGGTGATGCACAGATTTAGGACCCTAGGGAGCCTTTTCCCCGTCTTCCGTCACCCGCTCAGGCACGCCGAGGGCAGTTCTTGTGGGGTCCTCGTGGCAAACCAAGATGGCTGCCCCCTTGGTGAAGGCAGTGCGAGGGCTGTCGGACCTCGCGCTGGGCGTGCGGAGCGCTGTCCTGCGGTGTCCAGGGTGAGGGGCGGCGGACAACTGGGAGGCCGCTTGGGTCTTCACGGAGAGACCTGCGGGGAAGGAAAGGGGCCAAAGGCAAGCCGCGCGGGGACCTGGAGAGAGCCTAGGGGCCGGTATACCAGGGGCCAAGCCTCTTAACTTTGACTGGCAGCGTGACGGGGGGCAGTCTGAAGGCTTGGTAACTGCCCCCTGCCCGAGGGTGTTCCAACTCGGAGTTGAGAGTGCGGTCTTGCTAAAGAGCTCAGAGTTGGGGTTTTATGTGTTGGGAGTTCAGGAGCCTGCCCTTGTCGTGGGCCCTGGACGAGGAGGCGACTTTCCTGGCCAGTTTAGGGGAGGGTCTCCTACCTTTTGGGAAAAGAACCAGAATTATTGCGGTTCAGGTTTGGCTAGCAGTCTGCGTGCCGCTCATTAGTCGGTGGGTTGGTAAACATGCCCATTATTAAGTCAAGCCTTTTCACTTGTGGGGTCAGCTTTACCCACCTCCTCCTCTTCCCGCCTCCCAGGCTAACCCAGGTGAGGTGGAGCCGCTATGGCCCTGAGTACAAGGATCCCCAGATTGACAAGGAATATTACCGCAAGCCCTTGGAAGAGCTGACTGAGGAGGAGAAGTTTGAGCAGGAGCTCAGGAAGACTCAGCGTATCAAAGCTGCCCCAGCAACGAAAACAAGCTCTGTGTTTGAAGACCCATTGATCAGGTTAGATGGAAATGCTTTTGCTCCACTGGGACAATACCAGGGAGGATCTACAATAAGCTAAACATGTTGCTTTTCTCCTTGAAGTAAATTCACCAACATGATGATGAAAGGAGGAAACAAAGTACTGGCCAGATCCCTCATGACACAGGTAAATAGTACCTCTCTCCTTTCATCTTTCTTTTCCCTATAGCTTTGTACTTGACTCTTTCAGTTTAGTATGAAAAAGAATAGCTTCATATACCTGTCATTAAAATTAACTTTTCTGTATATATGTGTTGGGGTGGGGGCTTTATTTAAGTCGTTTAGGAGTCAACAACTGCCATCCCCCACACTCCCTGAAATCTTAGCCAACTCTTTCTGTTCTAATGGAAGAAAGAGGGAGGCACTTAAGAACTTTATCTTAGAAGTGCTGGAGAAGCTTAGAAGTGGGGGAGGAGCTACACTGCTATAGAAGAAACAAATGATGGGAGTGAAGGGCAAGGTATTAGCTCAGCTGGGCAAACTGTTCACGAAGCCAGGGCAGCCTCTTTTTCTATATCCCTTTGCAGACTCTGGAAGCTGTGAAAAGGAAGCAGTTTGAAAAATACCATGCTGCTTCTTCAGAGGAACAGGCCACCATTGAACGCAACCCCTACATCATCTTCCACCAAGCACTGAAAAACTGTGAGCCTGTTATTGGGCTGGTACCCATCCTCAAGGGTGGCCATTTCTACCAGGTAAGTGATCAGGGCAGGGAAAGCATGGCTGGCCACATTTGTAACAAGACGGGGAGAAGAGTTCTTGTGGGTGGGAGGGTCCAGAATTGCATTAAGATTGATAGCTTTCTAGAGACCAGAGACTGTCAGGATTTGATTATCTGAGTCCCATAGTGTTAAAATGGAAGAGAACCAAGAAGTATCCAAGTGACCTCTTCTGGAGTGCCCCGCCCCTGCATCTTGTGTTCTATCAGGCTTTAGCACCAGTGTCTAGCATAGCATTTGACTTGTTAACTAATGCTTCATCACCAACTGCTGAACTGAGCTAGGGGTCTCCATGATAGTATTTAATTATATTTCATTGTTATAAGTGGGTGTTCTCATATTTTTTCAGCGTACCTTTCATAAAGGTAGAGACTTTCTCATTCATGTCTGTGTCCCTAGGGTCTAGTGTGATACCTGGCACATAGTGGGGGCTTGGGAAATGATCCTTGGACAAGAGGGTCTTATTTTAGGTATCCATCATCTGAGTTGGCTAAGTCACCCCAGCTGATAGGGCTTTTCCTAACTGGTGCTTGTATCAACTTGGCTGAGCTTCCATTTACAGTGAAAGAGGTCAGTGTTTAATGAGAATTTGCTCAGTAAATGCCTCTGGTGTCTGCTAGAGTCACCAACAGTGGGAGAAGCTCAAAGAGGAAAAGACAGGCCCCTTGCTAGGAGCTTTGCTAGGGCTGACCCAGAGGGAGCCTGTGGCCACTCCGTAGAGCTTGTAGAGGCTGCAGCCTTGGCAGATTCTTGGACTAACTTGCCCATGTGCTGTGTCGCCCAGGTTCCCGTACCACTAGCTGACCGGCGGCGGCGTTTCCTGGCCATGAAGTGGATGATCAGTGAGTGCAGGGAGAAGAAGCACCGGCGAATGCTGATGCCAGAGAAGCTGTCACAGGAACTGCTGCAGGCTTTTCATAACCAGGGCCCTGTGGTCAAGAGGAAGCACGACATGCACAAGATGGCTGAGGCCAACCGTGCCCTGGCCCATTACCGCTGGTGGTAGGGGAGGGTAGACACTCCAGGAGCCCAGGGCTCTCTGCTGCAAGAAACAATGTGAACCGCTGCTACATTGAAAAATATCTGTGGCTTAAGGATGTAGTTCCTTTTTAAGGGCGGACAGTCCTCACAGGAAGGATGGAGCAGCATGTTTATGCTTTAGTCTTTCGTTTGTGGGCTAGAACTTGCTCTCCCTGCCCCATCTCCTTGCAAAGACGCAATACGTGGACTTGATTTCCCCCAAGTAGTAGGGCCCATCCAGCCCTTTCTTCCCTCTGCTTGGGGTGGACCTTTGGGTGATGAAAGGAGGCGTTTTAGTGTCAGAAAGGTTTATTAGAAAATTCTCACCCTAAACTGTGTAGCACGTGCTGCAGGACTGCCACTCTATTAAAACCAATTGGAAGAAATACACCTGTTTCCAATGTGGTCCTTATACAAAATGTATAAAAGTTTCTGGTGTGATGTGCGCTCTGCACCTCTGCCCCTTGACATTCCAAAGCATCCCACTAATGGCCATGGGTACTCATTTTACAGATGGGAAACTGAGGCACCAAGACACTGGTGTACCAGTGGTTACATGTGCAGTGGTTAGAAATTGCCCTTCTCTGCCCAGCCCAGGTGGAAGGTGATGGGAGGGCCTGGAGGGGCAGATCTGTGTGGTGTCTTCCCCAATCCCTGGAGGTGGGAAGGTGCTCAGCGCCACACTAGCAGGTAAGTGGGAAACCTCTCGGGAGCTGCTTAAAGTGTAGAAGGGGCAAAGTCTTTGGGGGAGGCAAAGCTGCACTGCCAGGTTGGGAGCTGGGTAGAAGAAAGGCCAGTGCTGCTGGTGAGGAAGCCCGATCTGCAGGCCTAGTCTGAGACCTCGCTATAGTAATACTTGTGGGCAGCTGGGGTCGTCTTCCAGCCGGCTGCCCGGAACTCAATGATCTCCAGCAGCAGCAGCTGGGCCAGGGAGCTGAGGCCGGTCAGGAGCAGGAAGCCATCCCGAATCAGGACAAAGAGCTCATCCATTCGCTGCCTGTTCATCTTCTCCAGCTGCTCCCCAACACGGTGCAGCTGCAGCACCAGGCAGTCCACCTGCAGAGGACAGCGAGAGGTGAGCCGCCTGTCACACAGAGCAGCCATTTACTGAGCCTTGCTGTGTGCCAGGCACCATGCTTGGCCCCAGACACACATTTTCCCATTTCATCCTCGCTACCCAGTGGCTATTATCCACATCTTACATGAGAAGAAGCAAGTTCAGGTACTTGCCTAAGGTTTTTCATCTGGGCCAAGCTGGACAAAGGCCCTGTTTCCAAACTGCTGCCTAACCCCACTTTCAACCCCCCACCCCCACTCCCTGACCCTGGTTTGGTTTCTGGCCATCTGGATCCACTGCTGGCCAAGGCTCTCGCCAGTCCTTTTATAAGTTGGCTGTCCTGCTGGGAAGGAAGCCTCTGAGCCAGTAGGCTTTGGCTGCTCGCTCTTTTGGATAAATTCCAGACCTGGCAGCGTGTTCTGTAACTATGATAGGCCTTAACGGCCCCCACCAGGCTCCTGCCCCAGGAAGTGATGCCCTCAAGGCCTCCATGGACAGTGGGCTGGTATTCTGAGCTAAGCTCAAGACTGTCCATCACAGCTTTCTGTGCCAGGGCCACCTACCTCCTCCTCCTTGCTCAGACTGTCCGGCTGGGCCAGCCGGAAGAGGCAGTCATAGACAGGGTTCACCAGGGCCATCATGGGCATGTTGTTCACCTGTGGGGGAGAGCAGGGGTCAAAGCACTGGCTTAGTGGCGTCAGGAGCCAGGCTGTCTCTGCTGCACACGGTGGCTGCAGCGGCCTCACCCTCAAGTAGTCAAAGATGTTGCAGATAAAGGTGACATAGCAGACCCAGCCCTGTGGGGAGCGGGCCCGAAGCTGCTCCCGAGCCTGGTACTCCTGCTGCAGCCGGTTGAGGAGGCCACGCCGGAAGACACTCAGGCCTGCTTGCTTGCTCTCTGCCTGTGAACCAGAGGAAGGATGGTGAGTGTGTGTGTGTGTGTGTGTGTGTGGTGGGGGAGGGTGCTGTCGTACCCCCACCTAAGCTTCCAAGGCTGAGAACCCTCTTAGCCCACTCTCTCCGCCTCTGAGGGAAGTCCTTTGCATCTCTGCCCACTCCTGAAGGAGAGCGTCTCCCCTCTTCACCAACCCTACCCAACCTGAATAATGGCATAGCACATGCGTCCTGCTTCCTTGCTGAACACACGGTCCTGCAGAGAATGGTCCACAATCACATTGGCCACTTTGTCCAAGTCCACGGCACCTGGATCTGGGGTAAAGATAGGCAGGCAGTCTCAGGCTGCTTAATTACCATATCGCCTTCACCCGCTCCTGAGGAGGATTGCAGTTGTTCACAAAAGAACACTCCCATTGTATGCTTGCATTTACTTGTTTAGGGACCAGAAAACAGAGAAGTAACCACACACAGGAGCAGCTCCAGCTGTGAGCCTCCGGTGGCCCGACCAGAGGCACAGTTACGTGGCTGCGAGACTAATCAAAGAATGCCAATTTTCTAGGACACTTCTTGTGGCACTAGGTTGAGGAAGGAGCACTGAATACTAGTGTCTTTGACAACAATTTTACAGAAGAAAGTGTTCTTATAACACACACACGGACCCCTGCCATGAGCAGAACGGGCAGGGCCTCCCCCACCGGCTTAGCTTGGCATGTGATTGGCACTGCTAATTGTTGGCCGAGTCAAACTTCTGTCCTGAGTGCTGTGGGAAGGCCTTGGTCCAGGACAGTTACTCTATCTCCTCTGCCAAGCAGAACACTCCATCCTCTGTCCCAACTCAGGCAGCTCTGCACATTCAAGAGAGCTGGCAGAAACCAGGTCCAACTGCAGGACTCACAGGGCAGGAACTGTGTTCTCTGGGCCCCCCTCCTTTCATGGGTACTTAAATAAAAAGGCTTTACAGTCTGAGAGGTGACTCTATGATTGACACTCCCGAGTATTGGCCTGAATGTAGCTTGTCTTTCGGTGTGAGAGTTATGTTGCTGACTCCTAGCCACAGAAATTGAAGGGGGAGAGAGCTGACGATTCCCAGGCCAAGGCTCAGTCCTCCAGCCCTGTCCTGGTGATGCCTTGTCTGCAGCTCCAGACCCAAACTCAGGAGGGCTCCCCTTGCTCACCTTTGAGTGCTGTCTTCAGCAGCTGCTGGGTCTCTGCGTCAAAAGACTGGATTTTATACTCCTCTCTGCCAGGCTCCCCCATGACCACCCAGCCCCAGCAGCTCTTTACTGGGGTGGGACTAGTGAAAGCACCTGGCGGGAGGAAAGGCAAAGCAGGAGGCTTAGGTGTGGAGAGTGGGGCTGGGGTTTCCAGACTGCAGGCCCTGGGTGGCACTGGCCAGCACTTGGGACAAGTACTCCCGGGAAGTCCTTGGCATCTGGTGGTTGGCTGAGTGCCCACCAAGACTGGCTTCTGGTGGAGCCTGGGCAGCAGCCCAGCACCTGCTGCTTAGTTTAGGAACCCCTGTAGCTCCTGGGATTACATAAGAGCAAAGAGATGAAGGGTGAAAGCTCCTACCCTCCACTCCCAGCAGGAGGCAGAGTTATTCTCAGCTGATACCTGGGGTGGGCTGGGGGTGTGGGTAGGTGGATATTAGACACTTGCCTACCCATATACTCCGGCCTGGAAGCTGCTGGCCCAGCAAGATTCTGGGCGAGTGCGAGCTGGGGGCTCCAAGCTGCGCACAGCTGTCCCAGCAGGATTCAAGTCCCTCTCTACAACCCTCTCCCTCTGCGCTCGGCAGAGCCCCTCAGTCCACAGAACCACCCCGCCTGCCCTCGCTTTGGGACCGGCCCGGGTGGGCGGGTGGAGGACACTGCCGCCCTGACGGTTGGGAGCCCAGCCTCTGTCCTGGCCAGCGTCTCCCCGGGATGAACTGGTTAAACTGGCCTCCGGAGTGGCAGAAAACCACCCTCCCTACTCCGGACTCCCAAATCCTGAGCTCCATCCTAGATCCTTCCCCTTCAGGAGGGGAGCGGGAAGACGCGTGCTCAGAGGCAGCCCCGACGGGAGCCCCCGCCCTGGACTCGGTGCCTCCCCACTGGTCAGAGGAGACGACCACAGGGGTCTCCAGACCTGGGCAGCTTCCCGAAGCCCGGAACGCCCCTCCCGGCGATGCAGGACCGGCAGCAGAACCCGCCGTCCAGTGTCCGCGGGAGGGAGAGGCGGCGTGAGCGCCAGGACCCACCTGCCGGGCCGGTGCCGCGCCCGCGAGCCCGGAGGCCGTTCGGCGGGCATGGTGCGCGCGACCCACGTCCGCGGCACCGCTGGCGAGAGCAACCCGCCTGCCGCGGCTTAGGTCATTTCCTACCGCGGCGCCGGGGCGGGGCCGGCCGGCCGGGCGGGGCGGGGCGGGGCCTGCCGGTGCTGAGGGGCGGGGCCTGGGCGGGCAGGGGCCGTTGGGTCCGAGGTGAACTCGCCTCGTCAGCGCCATCTGCCGGAGCCCCGGGACTCTGCTGTCATATCCTGCCCTGAGGTCCCCGGCGTGGAACTGGGACGGGGGCGGGCCGCGCGGGACCTCTGTGACTGCTCCCACTGCCCCTGCCCTCTCCTCACCCGGTTCACCCCTGGCCGGTCTGGGACCAGAACGGCTCGTGGGCGCGGGGCAGGTCCTGCTGCTCCACCCGCATGAAGCCTTAGGTCTTAATCGGTGGCATCCACCCCACCCTGCCCCAAGCCAGGGCTCAGCTTAAATCCAGGTCAGGAGGCGGCTGGGCCACGCGGGGTGGGGGAGCCACGGGGGGCGTGGCACGTACCCGGGAGGGAGCAAGGGGGCAGAGCAGAGATAGCTGGAGGGGTAGGACTTTACAGGGGGTGGCCACATTTCCCCCTAGCCCCCAAGGTAGAAGGGGCATGGGTGTAAGGGCTGGACCAAATTCCACTGACCCCCTCCTCTCCACTCCGGAAGATACTAGTAAAGTAAGTTGAAAATCAAGGGGGAAAGGGTCCTCCTAGTTGCCAACTTGTGACCTGGAGGTGCTGGAGGGACCCTGAAATTGAGTAAGTCCCTGGCTCCATTTTTCTTGGCTGGGGCTGGGACTAGGGGAGAGGAGCGTTCGCAGGAGCCCAAACAGGCCATCCCTGAGGTCGGCCCTGGGGTGCAGAAGGGCATGCAGAAGGGGTAGTAAACGGCCTGCCTCTTCCCTGGGCTTAGACAAGAAAGGTGTTGATGGCAGTCTCCTGGTGCCCAAGTTCTCACCAGAGTTGTTACCAGATAATGGATGAGGAAGAGAACCTTCAGCTGCCGCAAAGGAAACCAGTGAGCAGAAGAGATGAAGAAAATAGAGTTTACTTCAATGGAATTTCATAGAAAATACATTCAGGCAGCTACCTCCCCACAGCCCCAAGCCCAGGCCTTAAGTGCCAGAAACCCTGGGGTATGGGAGTGTCCTCCAGCCACAGCCTGGACCTTCAGAATCAGCAGCAAAGAGCAGGCAAGCTTCAGGACTCCAGGTTCCGGACATATCACAAAGCCCCCGATGAGAGATGAAATAGTAACGGGGCGAAGGGGCCCAGTCCACTGGGAGCCCATACCCGGCCTGCTCCCAGCTGGTGCCTTCATAAGTCAGAGAGGTCTGGAGCCAGAGCCCAGAGAGCAAGGCAAGTGGGAGTTCTAGGTGGGATTCTGGTGCTCCCGGCCAGGTGCCCTCGGTGCTGGGGAGATCTGGAGGAGGATGCTGGCTGCTCTGTAGGTTTTCCCCTCACACCCTGCCTGGTTTCTCTCAGTGCCTAAACGTGTATCTGCTGGGTTCCTGTGCTCTGGCATCTCCCCTGGGCACCAACTGCATCCTCACCAGGCTGTCTGTCCACCCCTTCCTTCGGCCACCCCATTCACTGCGCTGCATCCCAGTGTGGCCCTTCTGGGTTACAGAGACCCCGAGAAGGCAGCTGATGCCAAATGGGGTGAGCTCTACCCACCCAGAAGGTCGGCCCCAGTCCCAAAGGGGCGCCATCCCAGGCAGATGGGAAAATGACCGCTGCCTTTTCCCACGCTTGCCCTCAGCACAGCCCCCCACTTCCTGCGGTGCTGCAATACCTGCTTCCCTGGAGCCCTGGACTGACCAGTCCTGCCCAGGAGGGAAAGCCGCAGTGGGACATTTAGACGCGAAGCTCTGAACACGGGGTTAGAAAGTGACCATGCAGCTTGGGTTCCTCCCCCAGAACTGGCAGCAAAGCTGCCTGAGGGCAACGACTACTGAGACATGGAACCTGGGAAAGGCTGGGCACTGCTGGTGCCGAGATGGGACCTGGGAGAGAAGGCGGAGGGGTAAGGTAAGGAATGTGCTTTTAGCCTTCATGTCTATTAAGCAAGTCAGTGGGGACCAGAGCCCAGGTGTGGGGCCTAGACCCCTGGCCGAGTCCCAGCCCTCACTTTAAGCTGTGGCCCCAGCCAGGGCCAGCGGAGCTCCTGGCAGAAGGGCTAAGAAGTGCGGGACGGCAGGCAGCTGTTGCCCTTAGATGGCGGGGAGACCAAGCTCCTTGGCTGGCGTGGCTGGGATCCCACAGACCAAGTGCTCCGTCCTCCCCAAGCTCGCACAGGGAGAAAGCCCGCGGCCTTCTGGTGGCATCCAGCTGGCGGATCAAGGCTGCGGCCTGCTCCCAGCAGCTCTGCATGTTCAGGACAGCTGGCTGGAGGCCCAGACCACGCAGCGCCTCTCAGTGCAACACAAGATTGTAGTCAAGTCTTACTTCTTTCAGGAGGTTGCCTCCGGTGACAGACCTCAGGCCAGCTTCCGGCCTCAAGGCTCGCTGTCTGCCTTCTTCATGTGGTGGAAGAGGTTGCAGAAGAACTCATACCAGAAGAACACGAAGCCGGTGGACAAGGCGGCCTTCAGCAGGCTGGGGGACAGGCCCTTGAAGAAGCCCGGCACGCCTTCCTCCCGAAGCACCTGCCTGGCGCAATCCAGGAGGCCCTGGTAGCTTCGGACCTGGGGAGAGGAAGGTTACTTCAGATGAGGGGAGAGGTGATTACCACACAGCTGTGGCTCTATTCTTCTGTCAACACAAACGCCTGCACATCATAGCTCCCAATAAATGCCCGCTGGATGAAGGAATGGGTGCAAAAAAGGAGAAAAAGTTAATCTCGTTCTTTCTCTCCCAGCTGACGCGCCTGGAAATCAGCGCTGGACAGAGCTCCTTCCTGCCCAGGCGGCTCCCACGGGCTGTGGCTCCTACGGACCCAGTGAGACCGCTGGACCCTCTTCCCAGAGGCACCTCTGACCCTCCACCCCAAGCCACCCGGTCCCCCTTGGGCAGTTTATCCGAACCTGGCCTTCATTAGCTCTCAGCCTGACCAGTGCCACCCTTCCAGCCTGGCCTTCTCCAGGTGACCACACACCCTGCTCCCCTCCAAAGGCTCCAGTAACTCTCGATGATGATGACAACAGTGACATTATGTAGAACAAAGTCCAAGCTCAGAGGCCTGGTGTTTGTTTGAAACTCAACTTCCCTCCCTACCCTGCCCTTCTCCTGCCCAGGCTCCTCCCACCTCCAGTGAGGGACAAGGATCAGAGCTGTGAGCAGGGGGACAGCTCACCTGGCCGAAGGTGACGCGGGCCTGCTCAAACCCTCCAACCTGCAGCCGTTTCTTGAAGAGGTCCAGGGGGTACGTAAGGGTCTTGCTGATGACTCCAGCCCCGCTGCCGCAAAGCAGGTTTTTAAGGTTCTCTGAACCAGAAGGGTGGGATTGAGCAGGGAAATGAGAAAAGTGCAATTTAGGGTAGACAACTTCAAGGTCATGAGCTCTACCTTCCATCATATAACAAAAACCCACCGCCTGGCTGGTGTGGCTCAGTGATTGAGCATCGACCCATCCACCAAGAGGTCGCCGGTTCGATTCCCGGTCAGGACACATGCCCAGGTTGTGGGCCCGATCCCCAGTGGGGGCATGCAGGAAGCGGCCAATCGATGTTCTCTCTCATCGATGTTTCTATCTCTCCCTCTCCCTCTCCCTTCCTCTTTCTCAAAAATTAATAAAGAAAAAATATTAAAAAAACAACAACCCACAGGCATCCTTGCTCTCAGAGGAATTTAATGAGAGAGAACCAGACACAGCTGCTTTGGCAATGACAAGGGACTGTAGACTGGACAGGCCGGTAGCAGGATGGGTGTGAGCTGTTGCTAGTGCTCGCTCCCCAGCTGGAGGCTATAAGAGCCTTGGGTTCTGCAATGTTGCCCAGTTCAGGCTCAAGAGGGTGTAGGATGCCCCTCCTCCTGCACATCCTTCCAAAACAAAAACCAAGCAAAACACACCACCACAAGCAGGCAGTCTGCGAGTTGGACCTCTGACCAAAATGAAAACCATGACCAGTAGTTGGAAATAAATGTCGATGATGCCACTGGTGGGTGTGACAAGAGCTGGGAGAAATCAAGGCTTCTGTGAGCGGCTGCATTTCAGAGCTGGGTTCAGAGACCTAAGCTTCTGACAGGAAAACTATTTCCTACGTGACTCAGGAAGAGACATGATGGCTTGGGAGTGGGGTGGAAGGGAGACCCCAGTTCCCTTTCGTGTGGGGCTGTCTCACCGTTTTTCCTTCCTTCGGCTGGCGTGACCCACTCGTACATGTGCTTCAGGGAGTTGTAGAAGGAAAACTGGAAGCCGGCATAGGGGAAGATGGCAATCAAGGTGGGGGTCAAGCCTTTGTAGAAGACCAAGGGGCCTTCGGTCCTGTACATGGTGGCCACAGCGTCCCGCAGGGTTTTATACACCTGGATAGCACACATGCAACTCGCTGAGTGCAGATGGCTTTGGCTTGAGAACACAGCCCCCCACATGTATGCCCCCACACCTACAAACCCAGCTAGCAGGAGCACTACTCCTGCCAAGAGGACAAAGAACAAGCTGGACGAAAGTTCTGAGGGTGGGCTTTTCCAGTGACTCCCCTTCGAGCTCTTTACACATCCGAATGAGTGCACAAAGCTCGTGTCCTTTGGGACAGCAGAAGACACACCCGCCCTCAGGTGACTGGTACATAAATTATGACACACCCACTGGAAAGAACATGGGAACTTGGGGTAACTGCTGAAACAGGAGGCAATGCGTGAGAATGACAGGGACTAATCCCCCAAAGACCACAGCCAAGCACAGAGGAGCAGGCAGCGTTTGTGGAGGCAACACAGGCAGAGACAGCAACACCACCTCCCTCTCCCCCTGGCCCCGCCCCTTTTCTGCCCCTTTTCCACCCCGAAGGTCATGGTCCTGTTCCATTTCCTAAGTATCCCGGGTGGATGTTGCATCTTTTGCTGTTCTGCACTGTGTACGTAAGTTACACTTCGACAAACCTGACTAAAACCACAAAAGAGCTCTTGGGAACTAACATTTGCTAGCGAACATTTAAGAGTCACGTGAGGGCCCAGGTGATAAAGGTAAGGACACTGCCCAGAAAGGAGGACAGAGAGACAGAGCTGAACAGTGGCAGAGCAAAGCTCATCAGACGGTCAATCCAGGATGTCCTACTGACATGAATTCCAGAAAGGCAGAAAAGAGAAAAACAGGGCAGGCCGTTGTGAATAAATAATTCATGACCATTTCCCAGGCATGAAGAACACGAGTGTCCAGACTAAAGGGTCCAGGAAGTGCCTATCACAACGAATAAAAAAGACCCACCCCAGTGTACATTTCTAGAATGCCAGGGATCAAGCAAGACCCTGAGCACTCCCAAGGTGGGGGAGGGGCGGAGGGGAGCCGGCTTCATACAAAGGATCAGTAGTCAGCGTGGCTCTGACTTCTCTCTTCAGCAGCACCGAGTGATACCTGGAGTTCTATACCCAAGTCAGCAGCCAAGTGTAAGGGTAAAATAAAGGCATTTTCTATCAAGACTTCTCTCAGGAAGCTACACCAAAATGAAAGAGGAGACATGATCTCCAAGAGATTCCCGAGAGAGTAGCTGGCCATAGCCCTAGAGCAGTCCAGACTGAAGCCAGAGGGTCAAGGGTGCCAGAGCGGAGGACTCCAGGAGGGCTCCAAATAACGCGGGACTGATGACCGTGGGCTGACCCTACTGAGAGGCAGTCTGAGGGTGAATTCATCATGAGCATGTACAAAGCTAAACAAATAAAACACAAGACCTTTGTTAACTTCAGAAAAGACAAAGATATAAAAGAAAATGTAATCATAATGTATTTTAAGGCTCAGCAGTAATAAAATCTACATAATCATAATAGTATAAACACTAAGTATTGACTTAGCTGCAATCTACTATGAGTTGTACTGTAATCGGATGGGGGAGGAAACGCAAGCGTACACAAGGGCGATGACAAAAGAGCTGAACCCTTATCTTCCATAGTAGCAGTCTCAGTTAATGTCTATGAATAAGAAGGAAAGAAGGGAGGGAGGAAGGGAGGGAGGGAGGGAGGGAGGGAGAGGAAGAAGGAAGAGAAAAGAAAAACAGAAAAGAGAGAAACAGTGGTATAAGCATGTTACTTAGAACTAGAAAGTAAGCCTGGCCGGTGCGGCTCAGTGGTTGAGCATAGACCCATGCACCAAGAGGTCACCGGTTTGATTCCCAGTCAGGGCACATGCCCAGGGTGTGGGCCCAATCCTCAGTGTGGGGCATGCAGGAGGCAGCCAATTGATGTTCTCTCTCATCGATGTTTCTATCTTTCCCTCTCCATTCCTCTCTCTAAAATCAATAAAGAAAAAAAAATATATAAAAGAATTAGAAAGTGTCCTGGCCGGTTTGGCTCAGCAGTTAGAGAGTTGGCCTGCGGTCCAGAGAGACCCAGGTTCGGTTCCCACTAAGGGCATATACCTTGGTTGTAGTTTGTCCCCGGCCCTGGTTGGTTGTGTGAGTGGCAGCCACTCGATGTGTCCCTTTCACAACGATGTTTCTCTCTCTCTCTCTCTCTCTTCCTCTCTCTCCCTCTCTTCCTCTCTCTCCCTCCCACTCTATCTGAACAAAAGAATGGAAAAATGTCCTCGGGTGAGGATAAAAAAATTTTAAAAAAAGAATTAGAAAGTAAATAATGGAAGAAACAGCTACAAGTATTAAAAGTGGATGCCTTTGGGGATGGGAGTCAGGGGTGTAGCTGTGGTGTTTTTTTGTTATAATTCACAAAGAACTACCTGTCTTTTTCATCTTTATACACCTTATACATTGTTGATTTTTTTCAAAAATGTATTTATTTTATATTATTTTTTTGTTAATCCTCACCAGAGGATATTTTTCCATTAATTTTCAGATACAGTGGAAGAGAGCCCGGGGGGGGGGGGGGAGGCATCGATGTGAAAGAGATGCATTGATTGGTTGCCTCCTACACGACCCCATCCAGAACTGGGGATTGAACCTGCAACCCAGGTACGTGCCCCTGACTGGTAATCAAACCTGAGACTCCCCAGTCTGCAGGCTAACGCTCTAATTGCTAAGCCAAACTGGCCAGGGCATTTTTTGCAAAAATTTAAAGTTGAGGGTTTACAGTATTCTAAGGAAGGTGGAACTTTGCAGTTTTTAAACAGGTGTCTTCCCCTCACTTTTTGTGCATAATTTTCTGGTCATTCCAGAATCTAGAATCCAACATCTCAATCATGTAAGCCAGAGAGGTAATATGTAATTCTCTCTTTTTAAAAAAATTTTTTTTTTCTTTATTGATTTTGAGAGAGAGTGAGGGAGAGACAGAAACATCGATGAGAAATAACATCGATTAGACCACCTGCATGTCCCCCACTGGGAATCGGGCCCACAACCTGGGCATGTGCTCGACGGGGAATCGAACAGGCGACCTCTTGGTGCATGGGTCGATGTTCAACCGCTGAGCCACACTGGCCGGGCTCTCTATCTCTCTCTTTTTTTATCCTCACCCAAGGACATTTTTCCATTTTTTGTTCAGAAAGAGTGGGAGGGAGAGAGTGGAAGAGAGAGAGAGAAACATCAACGTGAAAGGGACACATCGAGTGGCTGCCACCCGCACGACCAACCAGGGCCAGGGACAAACTGCAACTGAGGTACGTGCCCTTGGTGGTAACCAAACCCGGGTCTCTCTCTTTTTTTAATCCTCACCCCAAGATACATTTTTATTAGTTTTTTTTTTAAAGAAAGAGAGACATCGATTGATTGCCTCCCAAATGCACCCCAACTGGGAACTGAACTGAACCCGCCACCTATGTTATGTGCCTTGTGACTGGGAATTAAACCCACAACCTTTTGGTGCACAGGATGATGTTCCAATCAGCTGAGCCACCTGACCAGGGCTCGCTCTCTCTCTTTTTTTCAACTGTCTTCTCTTTTTCCTTCTCACAGACTTTTACTAGTGTTGGGAAGTAAGAGGATTATAGCATTTCCAGATCAGAGACATTGAAGGACTGTCACTAGCCATCTCTCTTCATCCCAGCCACCATGTTGCTGAAGTTCATCTGTCCTCTCCCTCTATAAACACCCTTCGCCTCCACTTCTCCGCTCACTTCCTAGGAGCCCGCAGCTCATTTCTCCACGAGGGCGTGGCCCCAAACCTCTCCTTGCCACTGCAGTGTCATACAAAGTGACCTAGCTCTCGTGCATGCGTCAATCGTTTTCTCCCAGACTCCCAGGGGACTTTGCCCTTCTCAGCCAAAAAAGTCATCAGGATGTCTCCTAGACAAAAGGACTCCCCTGACCCAGGATCGCCACCCCAGGCAACATAAAGAACCAACAGAACTGAAACCAGTTATTCTTAACTGGTCCCAGAATGAGTATTTTTTTTAAATACGTTTTTATAGATTTTTTGAGAGAGAGAGAGGAAGAGAGAGACACAGAAACATCGATCAGCTGTCTCCTGTACGCTCCCTACTGGTGAACAAGCCTGCAACTCGGGCATGTGCCCTGGCTAGGAATCAAACCAGGACCTCTCAATTCATGGAATGACATTCAACCTACTGAGCCACACCAGCCAGGCACAGACTGAATTTTTAAGCAAAGCATCATTCTCCATCAACAATATCCTAAAGCAGCCTGGCTGGTGTGGCTCAGTGGATTGAGGGTCACCCCATGGACTGATTCTTGGTCAGGGCACATGCCAGGTCACAGGCTCGATCACCAGTAGGGGGCGTGCAGGAGACAGCTGATCAATGTTTCTGTGTCTCTATTTAAAAAAAAAAATCAATAAAAACATATTTACAAAACCAATATCCTAAAGCAGAAGGGAGACAGCAGAAACACTCTTCTTTCTTGCTTGAGAAGACACGCACACGATGCTACTGTATATCCAGGAAACAGATTATGGTGGGGAGGTCTACTTCAGGATTTAATCCCTTGCTTTCACTCAGTAAGTTCTTCCATAAGTCTGACTCAATTATCCCATTTTCTCCAACCCATTTCTTTGTAGAAAACAAAAACAGTCTCACAATAATACAGCAATCTGATCTCAAGTCTCACGTTCCCAGGTGCCTTCCCTGTCCAGCCCACTGTTGGGTATTTGTTCGGATTCTCACCTGGAGGTTCTGGCTCCCCTGAGGCTGTGAGCGAAGTGCTGAGCACGGTTCCAGGTTTCACAAATGGACTGACGGGTGGACTGAAACCCCGGCCTCTCCCAGTTTTGCTCCCTCTCAGGGCACCTCCTGTTACTCAGCACCCCTTCTCTGGCCAGGCCACTCACCCTGGGCTCACCCTGAGCTGCAAAGCGGGTGCGCAGGACGTCCACAGGATGCACGGCAAGGGTGGCCACGCAGGCAGACAGGCCGCCACACACAAAGTGCACCGAAGAGTCGCGGGCATCGTGCACACTGGCTCTGTGCACCAGCTCGGTCAGCATTTCAAATGACAAAAACTGCAAGAGCGTGTGACAAGGTCATTGACAAGCACCCAAACCTACCACCTATAACCCATGACCCAGTCCTAGAGACAAGGAAATAGTCCTCCTGAGCAGTGACAGAATACAACAAACTTAGTTTTATGCAGCTTAGATGCCATCGTACACTCTATTGGAGTTAAACTAAATACTCAAAGGGCTAAGAAAATATACGAGAAAAAATTTATATCAGAAAATTCTACTCATTAGCTTAGTTTGCTGAGACCTGGGAAAAGGTGGCCATTATCTGATCCTCGGCAGGGGACCCCTCCATTGCAGCCCGCAGTGACCCTGAGAAGCATTCTGCCCGGAGCAGGGGTTCTGTCGGGAGAATTCCCCGGTGTTACCCCCCCTTAAGCTCAGATCTTTCTCCTGCCAACTCAAGACAGCTCGGGGTCCTGAAAGCACAAGTCACCATCCTTGTTCAGCACGCTGCAGTACCTGTGCGCCAGGTGCAGAGACAGGACAGCAGGGGCACGTGGACCTGGTGTGCACCTGACCTGGGCAATGGCTGTGATGTCGGAGGAGGAGCAGGCAGGGACTACTCGGGCACTAGCTATCCAGAGGGGGTCCTGGCTCTGCCACTTTCTACCTAGGGACTTTGGTTGGGTTAATTACTTAAGCTTTCTCTGCCTCTGTCTTCTCGACTGTAAAACAGGATGTGATGACAGAACCTGTCTCAAAGGACTGCTGTGAGGTGACAGATGCAAAATGCTTAGAACAGGGCCTGGCCCGCAGTCAGCACTGGACAAGGGTTCTACCCCAAGGGTCGCACACCCTGACATAAACCAGCGCTTAGCTGAAGAATGAACCAATGAGTGAAGAAGTTGGATTCTGATCCTAGCCCCACCACTTACAGGCTGTGTGGCCTCTGGCAGCTCACTTCACCTCTCTGATTCACATAACACTTGCTCGACCTTCCTTACAATGCCTCTGGGAAGTTCAAAGGAAACACAGGTGTGAAAATGCTATTTTGAACAGTGAAAAGTATTGTGTCACCATTTGCCAAGTCACATTATGGCTGAGGTGTCAAGATAGTCTCTCAGCAACACCTAATACTCTGTCAGTGCTCAGTCCCTGAGTGGGGGTTGGGGGGAAGGGAGTGCCTATGGTACAGCTCAGTCTGACCCAGTCATCTGCCAGGTAGGTTCCCAGTTACGACATGTGAGAAGTGTGATGACCGCCTCCAGCTACCTGACCCCTGACAGCATCCCTGTGCTGCTCCATTGAGCAACCCAACCCCAGGGACCTGGCGGTGCCCCTGCCACCTACCTGGACAGCTCCATAGCCTATGGAGAGAAGCTGGGCTGGAATGTGTCCCTTCCAGAATGCTGTTGGGCCCTCCTCCTGCAGAATCTGTCTCCCGGCCTGTAGGATCCCATGATACTTTGCATTGGGGTCACTGCGAGACAGGTGCTCAATCTGAAGCTAGACATGAAAACAGAAAGGTCAGGACAATAGGGGCAGGGCTGGATGAGGAGAGATTTCAGTAAAGGTAACAAAGGCAACAAAGTGCTTCTCCTTGACAAAATTTCAAGCTCTTAGGAACTGTTTTGGCAAAAAAGGGTGACCCTGCCCTCCAGTCTGTCCATCACATGGAAAAAGGGGAAAAGGGTACCTGGAAACGGATCTTGATGACGTCCAAGGGGCTGATCAATGCCCGAGTGACAAATCCAGACAAAGACCCAGACAGTGCCACCTCGAATTTGGAGATATTCCTGCCATCTGCTTTGGGGTCATAGCCGACCATTCCTGCCTCTGGGCCATACAATGTCCATCAGCTTCAAGCTAAATGCAAAAAATAGGAGTAAACACCAGAGCAAGTTCTCAGGGTTTCTGCTCACACATCACCTCCTCAGAGCAGCCAATGAAAAACAATGCCTGCCTTGGACTCAGCATTGAACAGAGACAATATCTTTATAGGACTGGCTTTCTGCCCCACTTAGATTTTACAAGTACCAGCATGGACTGTCAATTCCATTGGATGCAAACAAAACTTTGTATACATTACAAAGGGTGGGGCAAAACTGTCCCTGGTTGAGAAGCATTGTTATAGAGGGGCTTTACACACTAGCATGATGTAAAATGGTATGCACTGCATCACTATTTGTAAAACTGGATATGATGCAAACGCTTATCAATGGAGGATAGATAAATACACTAAGTCACATCCATGTGATGGTATATTATGCAGTCATTAAAAGAATGAACCAATGCTATACACACTTGAAAAGATATCTACAATAGATTGAAACATAGGGGAAAAAAAGCAGGTTTCAGAATATTATGTCTAGTATAACCCCATTTTTTACAAAAGAAAAAAACAGCAAAACCTCGATATACTCTGTACAGTTATAAAATGTATAGGGGAAATGCCTGTCACAACACACACACACTGGTTAATAAGGTTTCCTTTGGGGAAGGGTTGGCAAGGGAAGAGGGAAGGTAGATCTCCCCCTTTTTCTTAATACAATTCTGTATTGTTTGGATTTGCTGTGACCCTCCCTCCCTTTCCAAATAAAACTAAATATAAAATGATTTTAGAAGGGACCTCAGAATTAACCTAGGTGTTTAACACCTTTAGTAACAGGGAAGTCAGTGACCACACGGTGACAACCTTCATCCCATCGATTCTTTTAGTTTTTAATAGATTTTTAGAGCGAAAGAGGGAGAGAGAGAGAAACATTGATATGAGAGCAAAACACTGATCGGCTGCCTCCTGCATCCCCCCACCAGGGATCAAGCCTGAAACCCGGGCATGTGCCCTGACCGGGAATCAAAACGCAACCTTTCAGTGCCTGAGACAACACCCAATTAACTGAGCCACACCAGCCAAGGTCCACCATTGATCCTTTTTATTCTCTCACCCACCCTGGAACTCTCTCCACACCACTTTCTCAGCCCCAAACCCTCACTTTTCTGTAAACACCAAAGTTGTGATCCAGTCCACCCTCAAAACCAACAGGAGATTTCCATGGGGCTCTATCAGCAAAGTACTCTAAAATGACATTCAAGCCCTGGCCAGTTTGGCTCAGCGGTTGAGTGTCAGCCTGCGGAACAGAGAGTCTTGGGTTCCGTTCCCGCTAGGGGCACGTACCAAAAAAATAAAATAAAGTAAAATAAAACAAAAGTACTTAAAAAAAAATTTTTTAATCGTGTGAAATTCCCCCAACCCCTGCTAGGAATGTGCCCATTTCTTGGTACTTTCTCTGATTCGCTCAAAGGAGGACACCTGGCTTTCCCATCAACTTCTCTGTGATATTAACTCAAGCTGCTTTTCCCCGGCCACCTGTGAGGAGCAGTTTAAACATAGGGTAGGAGACCGATAGGGAGAGCCCCACCCCAGGTTCCCCAGGGACTGCTCAGGTCACAAAGCTGTGGGGGGAAAAGGTATTTCTATAAATAAGCAGCTCTGCATAGCTGGACATAACCTTAGATCTCAGATCAAGAAGCCTGAATTCAAGCTCCCATGTACCTTGGGCAGATTTATTTCACCTGGGCTCAGTTTTCTCTTCAGGAAAGTGGGAATGATGTCTGCCCTGCCTAGCCCAGATTGCTGCCAGGCTCATGCAAGATACCATATGTGATAAGCTCAGTAAAAATGGTACAAGTCTTACACACGTGAACGGGCTGGTTAAATATAGTCCAGTGGTGGTCTTACTTTTTCTGCTGTTCGAAATTTCCTTCTTGTACCAATAAGCCTTGATATTTATCTAAAGAGACAAGTATGAAATATGATTATATGTTAGATATTTGTAATACAGCACTCAGAAGACGGGGGTGGGAGGGCGGCGTCCGCGGGTGTGAGTAGCAGGGCGGGTGGGGTGGGAAAATTTGCGTTAGCCACACCCTTCTCTTACTGCGGAAGCCGCAGGTGTTCCAGTCTTCAGGTGCCCCGCCGTGAGCGTGTGCTCGTCTGCCCACGTGTTCAGCGCAGAGTCTCTGCAGACGTGCCCACTGGTGTCTAGGTGTGTCTCCGAGAGTGTTTTTGCTCCCCGAGTCCGAGAAGATGCCTGCGAGGCGGGCACCCGCGTGTACAGGTGCAGAGCGCGTGCGGGGTTTTGCCTCCAGCGTTCCTTAAGAGGCTGCTCAGGTCAGCCGTGTCACCCGTGCACACAGTCCCCGCCCCCGCGTCAATACCTGAGCATGTGTGCTCCCTTAGGGTAATGAGGGTGCAGTTCCCGGAGCAGACGCCGAGGAGGGCGGAGGTAGAGGTCACTCACTCTGCTCTGAGGGCACCGCCAAGCCTCCCCACCTCTGCTCTCCCTCCCTCCTGACACAGGCCAACAGCAAAACTCAACTGCTTCCGGCAGTAACTGACAGACGCTTGGGCCAATCACCGCGCAGCTTCCGACAGACGTTGGACCAATGGTTGTACAGTCGCATACGGCCAACACCACCCGCAAGATGTCACTGGGTAATGTAGTCCTTCGCTACCAACCAAGGCTGTTCCCCTGCGAGGCGCAGAGCCTCCTGGGAGATGTAGTCCTGTTGAGCGCGCGTGCGCAGATGTTACCCATGCATCACGAGGAAGCGGGTCCTGAAGTCAGACGTCCAAAGTGAGACCTCCGAAGTCGCTGCGCTAAGTAACGCGCGGCTCAGTGAGCCTGCGGGCTGGTGGAAGGGTAGGGAGCTTGAACTTGACCCGCTTTCCTCAAAACCCTTGTAGCCCCTGAACTCGGATAATATAAACTTGGAAGAGATGATGGGAAGCTTAGCAAAAACCTGGAGGACCTGGGGGAAAGAATAGATGGGTTTTTAAGACCAGGAAGAGGACGGCAAAAATAGAGTTTTTGTTTCCCCCGAGGGTTTTTTACGAGTATTTTCTCATAAATAAATGCATAGACACAATACAGAATATGTAGAAATGAAGGGGGAAATGACTCATGCACCGCTCTCAAGTAACGTCAGGGTTTTGCAAGATAGTATTTCTTCTCGAATTTTAAATTGCATTTTTCATACTAGTGCAATCATTTTGACGCACAATTTTCAAGTATTTTGTACATATACAAAAGTAAAGAAAATACCCCTATGAACCACCATATAGTTGCCCAACAATTAACCAACTCATAGTCAATCTTGTTTCCTCTATCCTTGAACCTACCTCACCTTTCCCCTCTGACATTATTTTGAAGTAAATACCAGACATTCTATGATTTCACCAGTAAACATTTAAGAATGTATCTTTAAAAGACAAGCATTTCCCTTTTAAAACATACCCACCAAACTATCACCCCCCCAAAAAAAATATATATCAATAATTTTCTAATATTAAATTAGTAGTTACATTTTCCTGATTGGCCTACTCATTTAAAAAAAAAAAAACACTGTCTGAATTGAGATCCAGACCATACATTGTAACTGGTTAATATAGTTGTCTTTTTAAATCTATGTTTTTCCTCTTCCTCTTTTTCCATTGCAATTTCCTTCATTTACATCTCACGTTTTTCTTTTCCTTTCTCTCTTTATATTGTTTTTGTTTTTTAAGAAAATAGGTAGTTTGTCTTGTAGAGTTTTCCTCAGTCTAGATCTTGCAAGTGGCATCTCCATGGTGTTTTAACATCTTCCTCTTCCTTCTTGTGTTCTCTGCATGTTGGTAGTTACATCTAAAAGGTCTAATCAGATCAGGTTTGATTTTCTTTTTTACAAGACTACTTATGTGATATTGTCTGCTTCCATGAGGAGAAGAATGATGCCTGTATGTTTCTCATGTGATGTTTTCAGCCATTGATGCTCATTGCATTGGTAATGGGTTGTAAACGATGATACCATTTCAGCTTTATTGGCTGGAATACCTGTGAAGAGGAACATCCCTTCATTGGCTAATTGATTATATTAAGTAATATAAGAAAGCCATGGTAAGTGCGTAATTCTTCACCTTTAGCAATTTCAAAATAATTGGGTCCTTAGTATCCAATGGTTATTGACCAATAAGGTTTATTAATATTGTCATTAAGAACACAAATGGAGCCCTGGCCGCTCAGCCGGTGTGGCTCAGTGGTTGAGTGTTGACCCTGCACCAAGAGGTCGCTGGTTCCATTCCTGATCAGGGCACATACCCAGGTTGTGGGCCAAGTCCCTGGTAGGGGACATGCAGGAAGCAGCCAATCTATGTTCTCTCTCCTTGATGTTTCTATCTCTCTTTCTCTCTCCCTTCCTCTCTCTCTAAAATCAATAAAGATAAAACATTAAAAACAAACAAACCACAAATGGATTTGAACATATTTGTTCTTATTCAATCCACCCATTTTCCTGTCTTTGGCTGGTGGGTCCAATTCAACTTGGCACCTGAATCCTTTTGACAAAATGACTAATTTCCTTGCTTTCTGATCTGGCAAGGTGTTCTAGGATCATCGCAATTTTTTAAACAGGTTTGTTGAGGTATAATTGACATACAGTTGACTACATGTATTCAGAGTGAGCAGTTTTATGTTTTGAGGTGTGGTGTACATCACCACAAGATAGTGAGCATATATCCATGCCCTCAAAAGATTTCACATGCCCCTTTTCTATCCCTTCCTCTTGCCCTCTCTTCTCCCTCCCCCTTTCCCAAGTCTCTGATCTGCTCTCAGTCCTTATGGGCTAGTTTATATTTTATAGAATTTTATATAAATGGAATCATAGGTGATGTCCTTTATGTCTGGCTTCTTTCCCTCAGCATAACTATCTTGAGATTTGTCCATGTTGCATGTATCATTGGTTGATTCCTTTTTATAGCTGGGAAGTATTCCATTGTATGGACATACAACCATCGGTTCATCTGTTTGCTTGTTGATGGACATTTGCATTCTAGTTTTAGGCTATTACAAATAAAGCTGCTGCCCTGGCCGGTTTGGCTCAGCGGTTAGAGCGTTGGACTGCGGTCCTGAGAGACGCGGGTTCGGTTCCCGCTACGGGCGCGTGCCTCGATTGCAGTTTGTCCCCGGCCCTGGTCGATTGTGCGGGTGGCAGCCACTCGATGTGTTCCTTTCACATCGATGTTTCTCTCTCTCTCTCTGTTCCTCTCTCTCCCTCCCACTCTACCTGAACAAAAAATGGAAAAATGTCCTCTGGTGAGGATAAAAACACACAAACAAAAAACAAATAAAGCTGCTATAAACATTTCAAATTTAAGTTTTTAAAAAATTTTTATTGATTGATTTTTAGAGAGGGAGGAGGGGGAGAGAGAGAACGAGACATCAATTTGTTGTTCTACTTATTTATGCATTCATTGGTTGATTCTTGCATGTGCCCTGATGGGGATTGAACCCACAACCTTGGCATATTGGACCGTGCTCTTACCTTGGTTGCAGTTTGTCCCCGGCCCCAGTTGGGGTCCTTTGGGGTCCCATGGGGTCGTGTGGGTGGCAACCACTCATTGTGTCTTTCTCACATAGATGTTTTTCTCTCTCTCTCTTCCTCCTTCTCTCCCTCCCTTCTCCCTCCCCCTCTATCTCAAGATTAATGAAAAAAAAAATGATTTGGTGTGGTCACCTGTGCTAATTTTTCTTGTACAGACCTAGGAGTGCAATGCCTAGATCATATGGTCAGTATATATTTAACTTTTTTGTTTGTTTTTTGTACGTGCCGCTAGTGGGAACCGAACCCAGGACTCTGTTCCACAGACCAAGGCTACAACCATTGAGCCAAACTGGCCAGGGCATAACTTTTTAAGATATTGCCAAACTATTTTCCAAAGTGATTGTATTATTTTACTTTCCCACCAGCAGTAAGACACATCCCTGGTAAGGCCATTCATGATAAATTTAATCATTTTAATAGGTATGTAGTGATATCTCACTGTGTTTTTTTTATTTTATTATTATTTTTTTAATTCTCACCTGAGGATATTTTATCATGTATCTTCAGATAGAGTGCGAGGGAGAGAGAAACACATGGATGAGTTGCCTTCCACATGACCCTGACCAGGGCTGGGGATAAAATTGCAACTGAGGTACATGCCCTTGATTGGCATCGAACCTGTGACTTTTTGGTCCGCAGGTCGACACTCTAACCACTGAGCCAAACCAGCCAGAGCGTTTCCCTGATGAGTAATGTGAAGTATCTGTTCATGTACTTACTTGCTATCTGTATATCTTCTCAGTGGGGTACATGTGCAGATCTTTTGCCCATTTTTAATTGTATTGTTTTTGTTTGTTATCATTGAGTTTTGAGAGTTTTTACTTTCTGGACATAAGCCTGAAAGGCTTGTCATTTCACTCTTGTGTCTGTCAAACAGCAGAAGTTCTTAATTTTAATGAAGTCCAGTTTATTGATTTTTCTTCCTTTTATTGATCATGTGTTTGGTATCATACCTAAGAATTTCTTGTCTAGTCAGAAGCCATCTTTATGGCTTTTTCCCTGTGCTTTCTAACAGAAATGTGATAGTTTTAGGTGTTGCATCTAGGTCTCTGGCCCATTTGGGGTTAATTTTTGTGGATGACGTGAGATAGGGATCGAAGGTCTCTTTTGTTTTCTCTTTTGCTGTTAGGTATTAACTGCTGCAGCACTGGGAACACTGCTTTTGTTGAAAAGTTGATCCTTTTCCCACTGGGTGCCTTTTGCACCTTTGTTGAAAATCAGTTGTTCGTATGTACACGAAATGTCGCCTTCTGCTTTTTTTCACTTAACGCAAGTGCTGGTAAGTAAGCATTGTCCACACAGGAAAAGAGAAACTTAAAAATGTTAAGGTGGCCCTGGCCGGGTTGCCCAGTTGGTTGGAATGTTGTCCGGATGATACTCCAAGGTTGCGGATTCCATCCCCAGTCAGGGCACACACAAGAATCAACCAATGAATGCATGAATAAGTGGAACAAAAATTGATGTTTCTCTCTCTTTCTCTCCCTTCCTCTCCCTTCCTCTCTCTCTCTCTCTCTCCAATCAATCAATTTAAAAAAAAAGGTGACCCACAGTGAGCAGACCTGGTACAGAGTTTAACTTCCTAGAAAATGTCTCCCATAGTGCCCATCAGGGCTACCTTTGTTCTCGTAACTTCTTCTGCCTCCTTGCTTAAAGATTGCCTTATTTTCCCTCGAAGCCCCAGCCTTTGTGTTAGGTCTCTAGTTTCCATCAATTTTGTGGGCTGACCGCTAACCTCTCTCTTCAGCTACAGAAATCTTTGGGTTGTTTTGTTCTCCTGGACTAGAACAAGCCCACTTTAAAAAAAAAAATTTTTTTTCTTTATTGATTTTAGAGAGAGAGGAAGGGAGGGGGAGAGAGAGATAGAATCATCGATGAGAGAGAACATTGATTGGCTGCCTCCTGCATGCCCCACACTGGGGATCGAGCCCAC